TATACAGGGTCACTATGGGTCAGAACCGACTCAAAGGCACTTAACAATAACATCCTCTGATTAGGGAATCCTGGTGTGACGCTGTGGGTTAATGCGCTGGACTGAAACGTTGGTTTCAACTGCAAGGCTGGCAGTTCAAGCTCACCAATCGCTCCTTGGAAACCGTATACAGGGTCACTATAGGTGGGACACACACAGGGTCACGCATGATAGGTGGCACCAACTTGGTGGCTCTAACAACACCAGCATAATCTGATTAGACATGTGAGTACTAAGATTTTCCTTTAACTCCACTTTGGTTCCCATATAATCCCTAATGCTATCTAATGGTGTGTCTATAAAGGGAAATGCACACAGACAATATTTTGTTAGTGCAGTAGAAGCTCATGTATCATGTGCTTTCAGTAGAAATCAAACCCAGGACTTGGCATTGAAACTGGAGCCCTATTGCTGTGTGGTATTGGTAAGCTGCTTGACCTTTCTGTGCCTCCTTTTTCTGACTTGACAAATGTTGTTGTTAAGTACTGTCGAGTCGGTTCCAACTCATAGTGACCCTGTATAGGGTTCTGAGGAGCAGCTGGTGCGTTTGAACTGCTGACCTTATGGTTCACAGTCCAGGGCCGCTACTAGTTCCTCCTCGGAGAATCCCAGGGTACACTGCCATGTGGGACACAGAGGAAGTGCCTGGGAAGATGTAGGTGTGGTGGCAGTGTGCTCGGGTGTAGAAGAAAATGTCTAGTCCTGTGGAATAAGAAAATAAACAGTGGAGACCTTGGGAGGAGTCTCAGGAGAGGAGAGACACTGAAGGGAGAAGACAAGTTGAAGAGGGGAGAGAGAAGGACGAAATCTGTAGGAGGCATGGGCTGTGGCTCTCTGTAGCTGCCTGTTTCCATGGGCAGCTCTGCCTGGGCTGGCTGACTAGGACAGCTGCTCCAGGTCTTCTACTTAGAGAGGGGATCACTGAGGAGGGTGATGGGAGCAAACCTGGACTGGGCTGAGGAGGAGGGAAAGGACCTTCTCCTCCCATAATTCCCATTCCTTCTTGAAGGGCTTGTGACCTTCATCTTCTGGACATGTGGGTTTGTCTAGACAGAACCTGGCCTACTGATTCCTCACGTCTAAAAGATAGGCCAGCCCCAGTACAGGGTTGTCTTGTTCTCCCAGTCACTTGCTGCCCTCAAGCAGTCTGGGCCAATCCGATCCCTTCCTTGGATGCTGTTTGCAATCTAGAGAATCGGGTCACTGGTGTGTAGAGGGGAGATGCGCAGTGAGGTGCAGTTCCCAGCCGAGAGGCTTCCCCTCCTGGCCAATGTGTGAGTGAGTACAAGGAGCAGGTGAGAGGAGAGGAAACAAGGTGCCCTCCAAATGACTAATCTGGGGGGTGGGGAAGCAACAGATCCTGGGCCAGTGGGCTAAAGGGAAGTCCTTCATGGATCTGTGCTTATGGGTCAGCAATTTAAATGGTGATGCTGGAGATATGATTCCCGCATTCAAGTGGACAACAGATGAGTATGCAAGTGTGCTCAACTTAACACCACTGTGAGAAGCTGGAAATCATCATTTGGGATGAGTTGGTACATGGTTGGCTCAAATCCTGCATACACAACAGAGGGGACACAAACCTGAAATATCACTAGGTCGGCTTCCTGAACCTTTTTCTGCTCGTCAATGATATCTCTGGCCAGAGATCTCTTCTTGCAGGCTTCATAAGCTTCCACCCCATAACTGAAGGCCTCGGGGTTACAGCATGCACCTGGGGAGAAACAGGTCACTGGACACATCCCAGTGAGCATCCACAACAAACCCCCAGGAGAGCTGTATACTACATGCTCCTCAGAAACCCTATACAGCATCACTATGGGTTGGAACCCGACTTGAAGGCACTTAACATCCTAGGCATTGGTGGTGGTTATGTGCCGTGGAGTCGGTTCTGACTAACAGCGACCCTGTACAGGTTTTCCAAGGCTGTAAATCTTTACGGGAGCAGAAAGCCTCATCTCTCCTCTGTGGAACAGCTGGTATTTTCGAACTGCTGACCTTGTGGTTTGCAGCCCAATTTGTAAACACTATGCTACCAGAACTCCTTATCCTAGGCATTAGTAGGCTGAAATGGACTGGTACTGGCTATTTTGAATCTGACAATCATATGAATCTGACAATCATATATAGGGAATAACAAATTGAATAAGAATGGTGTTGCATTCATCATCAAAAAGAACATTTTAAGATCTATTTTGAAATACAATGCTGTCTGTGATAGGATAATATCCATACCCCTACAAGACCAGCTAATACCACTATTATTCCCATTTATGTACCGATTACTGAGCCAGTGATGATGCAATTGAAGAATTCTATTTCCTTCAGTCTAAAATTGATCAAACATGCAATCAAGATATATTGTTCATTACTGGTGATTGGAATGTAAAGGCTGTAAACAAAGAGGAAGGATTAGTAGTTGGAAAATATGGCCTTGGTGATAGAAATGAGGCTTGAGATTGCATGATGGAATTTGGCAATACCAATGACCCCTTCATTACAAATGTCTTTTTAAACCATATAAAAGACGACTACACACATGAACCTCACCAGATGGAATACACAGAAATCAAATTGACTACATCTATGGGAAAAGATGGTGGAACATCTCCTTATCATTAGCTAAAACAAGACCAGAGGAAGACTGTGAAACAGATGAATTATACTTATGCAGCTAAAGAAAATTACAAGTCCACAAGAGCCAAAATATGACCCTGAATATATCCCACCTGAATTTAGAGACCATCTCAAGAACAGATTTGACACATGAACTCCTGGTGTGGCGCTGTAGGATCAGCACTGGACTGGGAACCACAAGGTTGGTGGCTCAAATCCATCAGCTGCTTCTTGGAAATCCTATACAGGATGGTTATGAGTCAGAACCAACTTGACAGCACTTAACAGAACCAACAAAGGCAAACTATTGAATGATGCAGAAAGTACCAAAGAAAATAGAAGGAATAAATAGAGTCACTGTACCAAAAAGAAATGGTTTATGGTCCATGATTTCAAGAGGTAGCATGTGATCAAGAGCTAATGGTACTGAAGGAAGAAGTCCAATGTGCACTGAAGGCATTGGAAAGTAATGAGACTCCAGCAATTGATGGAAAACAAACTGAAATCTTTCAACAAACTGGTGCAGCCCTGGAAACCTTCACTCATCTATGTAAAGAAATCTGGAAGACAAACTACCTGGCCAATTGACTGGATGAGATCCATATTCATGTTCAGTCTAAAAAAAGGTGTTAACATGGAATGTGAAAATTACTATCACACACTACTAAAACTTTTTAAGATAATTGAAAAATAGTTGTAGCTATATATCAACAGTGAGCTGCTCGAAGTTCAAACTGGATTGATTTCAATTTTTTTATTGTGATTTGAGTGCACGTTTACAGAGCAAATTGGTTTTCCATTCAATAACCCATACATGTTTTGGTCCATGACATTGACAGCAATCCCCACAGTTAACAGCACTTTCCCTTCTTCTCTGTGTTGACCATTTCCATTCATCCGTCTTTCTTGTCTCTGCCTGCCTTCTGAGATTTACCGCTGGGTAGATGCTACCATTTTGCTCTCATATAGTTGACCAGTCAAGCAACTGTTTAACTGACAGTTGGGCCATATACAGGGTAAGCTGACTTCCAGGCCTGAAGAATGTCTAAGGAACATAATCTTGGGGGTTCTACCAGTTTCTTTTAGACCAGTAAGCCTTGTCTTTATTAGAATTTTGAGTTTTATTCCACATTTTGCTCCCATTCTAATCACGATCTCCTTAAGATCTCTTTCCAGGCAGTCGGCAGTAGTAGCCAGGCACCATCTAGTTCTCCTGGTCTCA